AATAGCCACAATAACTCTGTTTATTAATATTGCTTTCTGAGGAATCCATCACCCTGAGGCTGATGTCTAAATACACCTAATTGGTTTACTAAATCGAAACAAAAGCTTTGCATAACCAGAGTCGAAACTAATGAACCAATGGTGAAAACACTAATATTACTTATCAAATTCTCACAAAGAACTTGTATATCTGTCATTCAGCCTAATTCTTTTGTTCGTTGTTATGAAATGAAACAACTTGAATAAGTATCTTTTTGTGGGACGTTCGTTTCTGCTGATTTCATCACCAGTAAAAGAATCGAAAGTGAGCAATAAATAAAATGACATCATCGATTTTGACAACCAACTTACCTTTTTTTATTTCGCTATGTGACTTTGTTAGGTATTCACGTAATTTTTGTTTCTGGTATTCCGTGTAGTCATCTCGCCAGTCGGAAATACGCATAGCGTCTCTAAAAGTAAATCAATAATTTAGGCGGTTATTATGATTCAAGTCTTAACAAGACACAGATTTTGAAATAATAGAAGAGATTTGTAGCTCAGGTGGATGATTTGCAATTAAAAGACACAGATTTGCTTTACTTGACGACAGCGTTTCATATGCCATACAAAAATGAGATGATATAAAGTAACTGCTAAGAAGAAAATCACTTTTACGGGGATTACATTCATCCGTTGCAGTGTAGGTTACATTTGTTAATGAAATCAATATTTAGTGCGCAAAGTATGACAGATTAAACAAAGTTAAAAACTGTGACCTAGTGATTCAATTTCCAGTGCTCTATTCACTGAACTGCACTGAATGGCTTGTTAACTTTTGTATTGCTCGTATGAACAATAAACAGTACTGCTACTAAATTTCATTTTCCGTTTTTCTTTCAAAGTTAGTCGCACAATCAAGGAAGTTAAATAAAAACGAAATGGTCAACAGCAAACTGAAATTACAAACACAGTGGTGAGAGCTGTCTACTAACCAAATTGGTAGACAGTAATTTACGTCAATATTTACGTTCCCAAGATTTGTCGTGAAAAAATGTGAACAAAGATTGATTCAAAACCGACCACAGCAGACTTGACGTAGGCGGATGCAGTTAACATATAGAGGATTTGACATTCAAGAAACAGTCACAAATAGATGAAAGATTAACTTTACGTGAGAAACAACCAATCGGAAGACTGTGTTTGTTTGCTTAAATATCCATAGTAATGTACATGAAAATATATAAATATGCGTTGATTTCCTTAATAAGTGATCTGTTGCCTGACCCTTGCATTCTTTTGTTACAACACTATGTATGTTTGCTAAAAAGTGACCGTTTTTCGATGCACTGCACGCATATAATGTTTCACATGGTTGATACAGTTGTCAGCTAAAACGATTCACGTAAGCAGAAGACTATTATTTCACTGAAGATGTCTAGAAAGACAACTAGGATTTTGTAGTTAAGCCATCCAGCTAAAAGAACTCAACAGTGAAAGCAACGACCTGAGCTAAAAATCTTCTTCATCATTTCAAAAACTAAAATCACAATCCATTCAGAAAGAAGATAGAGATATCGAGTTTTCAAGTACTGGTTTGTAGAGATTTGGTTGGTTGGTTACAGTATTCCATCATGAGCTGACATTGATTAGAGAACCATTGGAAAACTTGGGAGTACTGGACAGCTGTTTCGTCCCGGTTTGGGGCTCTTCATCAGTAAACATCAGTTCGAACCCAGGACCTTCTGGTTACAAGGCTCGTAGACCATTGAACCACTGGGACTCGATTCAATGGCCAGTGCATGACTTCTAACTTCCGCCACTTCACGATATAGCGCAACCGCTAGCCAATGTCTTCGGAGAGTATTTGTCCTCACACCCGATGAGCTCGTCTTGTAAACAGAGGGTCCCGGGTTCGAACCCCGATGGGTGTGTACTGATGGAGAGTCCCGAACCAGGACGAAACAGCTGTCCAGTACTCCCAGGATTTTCAATGGTTCTCTAACCAATGTCAGCTCATGAAGAATCTTTAGGACAAAATATAATGTGCACTTTCATTTTCCTACATATAACTACCAAAGTGGTACCTCATTTGATGTATATATATATATATACATATATAGGAATATGCCTAAATATAAGGCTCCATCATAATAGTTTCATATGCTGTCGTACATGAACCGATTGAAAATAACTACTTTACTGAACATAATCAAAAATATACACAGAAAATGTCTGCACTGTGATGAGTAAATTTCGTTGTAACAAACAGAGTTTCTATTAAAATGTGTATCTTTTGGATGACTTATTCTACAACTGCATAACAGATTCCTTACTTGTCAAAATATTTCAATTCAGGTTCAGAAACACATCTCGTTTCCCTAAAAAAAAGGCCGAATAACAAATACGATATTTCAAGAGTGATTTAAACCCAAACCATAGTTGCACACAGTATAAGACTGTCATACTTCAATATCAACTGCTGGTCGTTGTTGTCCTATCCAAATATATCTAAGGAAATTTCTAGCTCAAAAGGTAAAAGAATTAGACTGGTCACTGAATCATGTGTTGTGAACACAAGTTTGATAATTCAACCTACTACTAGGTAATGACTCGTTTCAAAGTATGACAGATGAAATGACAGCAGTTAGAGAACAAGGATCAATTATCTTTTAACACAGGGGCTGAATCATGACATGATCACTGTGAAAATCGATCGTTCTGACGTTGTTGGCGCACCTTGAAATTGTAGTCCCCACTGTTGAAGAGTCCAAAAGTAAAAGAAAACATACCGATTTCTCTACAGTCCTTTATTTTTATAAGTAGTATCTAGATGTCATACAAGCCACTGCGATAATAAAACTTCTGTCTTAATTTTTTTTTGAAATTTAAGGAAAAACGATATTACATAGGGATGACAAAACATTTAAAGTTTCCTAACAACTTTAATAACTTTAAGCTCTTTTGTAATTGGCTTACTTCAAACGTTGTAATGATGCATCCTGTCTCAACAACAACTCCTTACGAGCTCTTTTTCTTTTTTCTTGTTTGTACAGTATTCTTATCTTCTCTAAAGTTGGTTGTGGTGGATCTTCCGGTAGGAATACTGTATGTCGATCAGATTGACTCGGTAGTCTACTTAACAATGATGCGCTAAATAATTTAATTAGAAAAAATCACCATCATCATCAGAGAAAACATTCATGTTTTAATTTGACTAGTAAATCCACTAAATAATTCATTCATTTCGAAAAAGATTACAGATAAAGAAGTTGTGGTGCTGTGATACAGACAATGGGTTCCAACGGGATATTATTCTTACAGTAAGAATCATTGTATATGTTGGTGTTAACGTCGGAATACTATTCCGATAGTTCAATACTGCATTAGCAACAGAATACTATATATGTATTAGAACATTCTATTTCATGTCGTTTAATGTAAACCAAAATCACACGCTCAGTGATTGGTTAAAGAATATAAACTTTATAGATATATATAGCTGTCTGATCACTTGAAAATATACCTTGGCTTCCATGTCTCTTGCCTTCTGCAGTTACAAAGTAAGCAACCCGAAATAGTACAAATAAAACGTTGAATTTCAAGGATCAAAACAAAGGACCTTGTGTGCAATGCAAAGGCGTGTGACTACATTTCAAACTATAATTTTGTTTCCACTCCTCAATCTCATTACCTCCTTTTAAAATTGGTTGTTGAAATGAATAAACTCGAAAGCTAGTTAAAATAGTCTATATGCTATCAAGTAGACAATAATCCCAAAATACGACAAGGCTATTTATTCCTTTTATTAGTCAAACTTAATAACAACTCATTTACTGTGGATCAACACCAAGACAACTAAGTTATTGATAAAACTAACAGTGATGTCATTCAGGAATTAGAGGAAGTCGCCAGAGTGTCACCGAAAGTTTGATCAATCTCCTTTCGTAATCCGGATGAAAACTACCACTCAAATGATGTTCCAAACCCACCGGAAACTATATATATATATAATATCAAATAAAGTTGATATTGTCAAAGTAATCATCGTGCAAAACTTTCTTCATATCATAAAGCGTTAAACAGATAATTTGAAAATGAATACGAATGAAACAGCCTGTAAAGGCTTTATCCAAAAATTAATAGTTGTACGAAGGGAAATTTAGTTATCGTCCAGTATTAATGCTGAGATGACTGAAACTGGTAATTGAGATTTGCATTGAACACACTTTCATCAATGATATTAGATAGTTGGAGGCAATCGGCCGGAAGCCTTGCTTGACCTAGGTTTCTTGCTAGTTGGCACTCACAGTCAACAAGGCGTATCTGCAACCTTGAAGGAACTCATGTCCCTTCTGAGATTAGAACCCGCATCACCCAGTGCTGCAGTCAGAGACGAAAGGACTAGACACGTCACACTAGTTACTAGTGTCCAATCAAAATACCCACTACAGTCCTACAGGAGGTCAATCGCGAGCCCGAATAGCTCAGTGGTAACGTCTCTGACTGCAGTAGGTACTGGGTGACGCGGGTTCGAATCTCAGAAGGGACATGATTTACTTCAAGGTTGCAGATACGCCTTGCTGACCAGTGAGTGCCAACTAGCACGAAACCTAGGTCGAGCAAGGCTTCCTGCCGATTGCCTCCAACCATCTAATATCATCAAATCAATGTGCAACGTGATGGCGGGCTACCTAGAATGGTGGCCACATTGCAAACCTGACTGATAGAATTCAGTCTGCACCAAAGAAAGGACTGGACGCGTCACAATAGTTACTAGTGTTCAGTCAAAAACACTTTCATCAATCTTGATAACAGTAAATAAAGTGGAACACACAACTCATTACAGAGATAGTTCTGGGCAATAAATCAAAATGATGGTTTATCTTATTCTACACTTAATTTTTATAAACAGCTGAAAACTTATTACACTTGTTTACTGTAATGGTGTGTAAACATGTTAAGCTGTCTTTATACGAATGGTGATATTAAGGTAATTAGATAAGGGAAGTTATTTAACAGGCATTATTCATAGGCATAAGATTGTTTTTGTCAAAACTTATATGTTTTAATGTAGAATAGAAATGATTTGACACACTTTGTAACTTATCAGACTGTAACAGTAGTGAGTCTTTTCCCTATAGTGTTGCTGATATTTTACTATTTTACTGTTAACCTATTTATCAGAAAACGAATTTATGCATTAATCATGACGGTAACTGTTCCTATAAAGTAACTTTATGAAGAGCTGTATTCTCGCGTATCACCTAACTCTAAGGAAAGGTCATATACTGTCTTCTCAATCTTATATTTTATATATTCTCAGTAGCATATATATATATGTGTCAGAGTGTTGTGAGTATTCAGTGACTATTTTCCTGTTAGACAAGGCGTTAGAAATCTAAAACCCAGTTTTATGCCTTTATTTCATATATAACACTCCGCGGTAAATAAGTTTCTTAAAGAAACAAAATTCATAAAAATGCGTAAAGAATTTTTTAATAAACCATAAGATTCAACGCTTTTAAAAAAGCGATTTCATCAGATGACTAGATGTAGTGTCTTAAAAACGATTATTACTTGTTATCATCCTGGTAATCTTAAGCTTATGATTTCTATTTTGTTTCTAATCATGTTACTTTCATTGTTCCAAAAGGTGTCCTCATGATACTCTTGTCCTCCGCCTTCCTTACCCTGGTAGGAGATAATACCTCTAAAAATCCACTAGCACATAAGATCGAGCGTTATGTTTCCTGTTCAAATATTGTATGTTCTGAAAAACTAAATTCAGATACATGAAGGGGGTCAAACAATAGAACAAGAAGTTTAAAATGTAACTTATCATGAATTGGAACTCACGAGTGTGACTTCGATCCATAACGCTTAGATTTTAAGTAATTGCGTTCTATCTTCTTGTATAATTTCGACTTTTGTGTTGTTCTACGACATGATGAAACAACATCTTTCTGTTCAGAATTATCATATAGACTTTTATCTGGACTAAGCATGCTTCCTATAGCTTCTGAGAGCTTTAGATGATTGAATTTTCGGAGTGGTTTTGTAGAATCCTCCAAATTAACAGAATTATTAAGTGAAGCTTCCCTTTCTACCTTATCAGTTTCAAATAAATGCACAGAACTAGGTCTATCTGAACGCAACTGACCCAAATAATCCTGTTGTAGTCCTATAGGACTAAGTGAAGCCATGCAATTTCCCGAATGAATCGAATCCTTCTCTTGGAGATTTATTTCATTCGTTGATTTTGTTAGAGCTGAGATTTCAAGGTCCGTGGTTTCGCCGTCAATGCAGTGCGATTGTTTATCGGGTGTAGAACCATTCTCACTTTTCGGCTTTTCTTCCTTTTTTTCTGAACTTTGCTTGCATAAACTGAAATCTGAAGTATATCATATAGTAAATTAAATGATTTACACGTGAAAACTTAATTAAGTAAATCTATACCCTTACTGAAATATGGCTAAATGGATGTGAAGAAGTACTGTCCAACCATGAGTACAAACATATGATATGCAAACCAAGATTGAACCAAGCTTTTTGTTTGCACTTCTCTACAAACTGGTGCTCTCTAAACAGATGTCAAATACGTGGGTTCCTTTAGAAAATCACAAAATGTGGTATACTTGACATTAAGAACAGAGTTATCAGTGTGAGTGTAAGAGCCATGTATTATATGCTGTTGGTTAATGCGAATGTACACTGATCACCATGAAATCTCGTCCTGAACTGTTAAGTCTTCAGATATTTGATTTGATTACGTTTGATTGATTTATTTTACTCAACCTATCTAAGGGTGAAGAAATGAATAGTATGTACTTTGCCAGGTATTAAACCTATCTGACTTTCTTGTGTTTTCTTAGTCTCAGTCCTACTTTTTTACTTAGGAACCTACAGTCAAAATTCAGCGTTAATGAATATGACAGGCTAAACTTCGTCTGATTATCACAGAAACTGTATATACCAATCTGATGAAACTCTTATTGATTTTCATATGCTGGCGAATATCCTACATTAAAAACAGCCTATTCAAACTTGACCTGATTCTATATTCCATTCAGCTTGAAGTTGAATAGTGTGAAACTGTATTGTGATTACAGACCATTTTAAATGCTCCTCGAAATGATCTAAATAACACCCTTGCCATCTCTCCCGAAAGTTCCTGAAGTTCCAACCAATTCTGAGTTCATTTAATTTACCATAACTGTTATAGTACTCGTTTATCCTATGATGTGTATTATCTATTAATGGAACCTTTTCCTTTTCCTTACTTCCTCTTCTTCTTTACTCCTTTACGTTCCCAGTGGAACATAAGGCTTCAAGCTAGAGCTTTGAAGTTTCGGTAGCAGTGGGTTTATTTCTTACGGTGTGGGATTGCTAGTCTCACGCCCAACCTTCCCTCTTTACCAGGCTTATTACCAGCAAAGCAAGGTTTGTGAGTGCGTCAGCCTGGGACCGCCTGACATGGCTGGCGAGCATTCTACTTCTGCGCCACCAACGCACTTTCCTTACTTCAGTCACATATAACTATTTTAGGTTGTTGAGAAGACGTTTAGTCAATTAATATCTGAGCAGCCTATGCTCTATTACAATTTAAGAGCCCACATGGGTAAGTTTCCATGTGTCAGTCAACTAGAATAAGCCACAGAAATCCACTGATATCTTCTAAGTTCCGACTGTATGTTGTCAACTGTTTCTACTACTGCTTCTATTAAAGACTGCACATGATGCAAGGCTTTCTTAGGATGATGATTATTATCACTGTTAGATATTTGTTTAGTTGTGTTCACCCTAAATATAGCCCTAATGGTGTCGTCCGAACGATGACCAGATAAAGATTTCACGGCTGGTTTTCTTCTGTTTTTTTTCATTCACAGGCAAACACGTGGATGGAATGATACTTCACCAACATCTATGCAGATGGTCGCTCGCCTGTAAAACCGCTGATTCCTACAAGTAGCCTACAAACAATCATATCAGTTGTTTAATCTTAGACAAAACCAGGACATAGCATGAGAAAACCCTACTTGAAATTCTAAAGCATTGAGAACGACTCATGGACGATTTTCAGAACTTGTTGTCAAAAAATGCCAATGAATAAACTCTCAGACTTTTCAGCACCTTAAATAATAAACAAGGTTTAATTTGAAAGTTAATATTACCTATGTATGTGCTTATAAAGCCATTCTAAGAATAAGTCATTACCATTTAAATATAACTAGAAGCACCTGAATATTCCGTATCAAGTTTTAGCTTCGTCAAAACCCCACCGAAAGGACCATTATTTTATTACCGCAACTGCACATTGCCGTTTATCTCAGCATTCTTCTTGGATAAGTTTCTACGTCACCTCAATGTCATACAACTTTTACAAATAGGGAAGGATACTCCAATTATTAGGTACAAGATACCACGAATGCTGCTTACAATTCATTTTGAAATATTAAAACCAGTAAAACATGATAACGTAATAATTATTGCATTCTAATGGTTGAAAATCGTGCTTTTAAATCAAGTTTACAATTTCACGAAGGAGTTCGTCAACTGGCACCAAATAACAGACTACAGAACTGCAAATCTTGAAGGATCTGATAGGTGAATACCGTCCTCTGACAGTGTGTCAAGCTTTTGTCATATATCTACCACTGATAGTTAAACTGACCCCAACACAGAGACAGATAACGAATCTCATTGTCTTATAATTGGTAAACAACTTCAAAATACAAAACGGTACACTCGTATAGGTTTTAAGAATGTGAAACATGTATAAGCAACTCGTTTGAAACAATTATTGGAAATGTTACATTAGCAGCTAATTCAAAGACCGCATAAAACTTAGTAAGAAGATGGAACTGTAAATATTAACTTACGATGGCATGACAAACACAATGCTTTTCAGAATTCCTACCTTTGTTTACAGCTATATTGGCCAGAACAAGGTAACAGTCATGCAAGTACTTCAGAACATACTTCGGACCTTTAACTAAGACATCTGCTGGTGGAAACTCGATCGGATTGTTTCTGTGATGCAACACCGACAGTTTCTCTAAAAACCCTGTGTTTATGCATATATGCCGTAAAAAATATAAATAAACTACCAAGCTCGACGGGAAGAATTGTAATTTTGTTATTGTCTAGAAGCAAAGTTTGCAGATTTTCAAGGTATTTGATTTCTGGTGGGATATTTGTAATACAATTGTCACGTAAGTCCAACCAACGAAGATGACTTAAGGATTTCAATATTTCTGGTGTTAGTGCTTCCAGGCAATTATTTGCAAGATAAAGTTTCTAAACCGGTTATCAGCTCTTATCTCCTGACATATACCTGAAGGTTGGATATATTCAGTACCTGACTAGGAATTTCCTTTAGTTTTGAGCTACTCAGATCCAAATAGGTAGATGACTTGGCCGATGCTTCTGATATTCGTTCTAGTATATCATTTTCCGTGCTTTCCACTACTTCATCACACTTCTTAGATATTGATAAGCTGGTTTCCATTTAATCAAGTTAGCATACTAACAGAATTTTCAAATTAGTTCACGCGTGGGAACCATAGAGTTAAAGTCCAATATCCAATATCGTTTTTACGAGCTAGTATAAACCAATTTGATTTCTTTGTGCTCGCCTCTTGATTGTGAGGTATAGGTTCCTGATCTTCGATAAACTTCTGCGTAGCTCGTCCCGCCACTCGACTGTTGTAGCCTCGGTTGACTCCAAAAGGAGTGCTGGAATTAATTATATGTGGTTTGTAGTATGAGGTGTGTTAAGACTGTTGCTACTGTGAATGCAGTTGATCCTTTCACCAGTTAGTCCTCCGGTATCATCGTCAAAAGAAAAGACATAATAATAATAGATATAATTAGTGAAGTTATTCAGACTAACAGACAGAAAAAGAAATAAGAAAACGTAACAACAGTCAGCTGATTAAATTTGAAGAGTTTGTAGCGGTAAATAATTCCCCAAAATTATTAACCACAGCAATCATCACTCAACATTGGATGCTGACCATCACTGTTTAAGTCGACTTGTTTAGCTGAAGGCTTACGGTCAAGCATCCCCGCCATTTGGTGCTCTTCGTCGTGTCACGTGCGTGCACGATTACTAGCTAGCTAAGCATTCATTCCTACCCGCGATTTGGTCCCAAAATATATATCGTATTTGGACGACAAAATCTGGTCTTTTGCTTTACCATTTGGTACTCGAAGAACGAACACTATAGTGGTTGTTGGTATAAGATCTTGCGTTAGTATAATCCGTACAACTCGCGAACGTCGATACCTACAGCCCACCAAAACTGGTGAGCCCAACCTCGAACTTCATCTTCAATTCACACGCAGATAAACCCGGTGAGTTCGTTCCTTTTTGTGTTTATTCTTGTACTATATTGTTATCGGCATACTTTTCGTCATGAGTGATCCTAGCCCCAAGGTTATTCAGATTCGCTCAGCCGCCAAAACAATCCAGCTAGTACCATATTGGCCCGATAATGCTGAAACGTGGTTTCAGATTGCTGAGTCTGATTTTTGTGAACATGGCATAACTGATCAACGTTCACAGTTCCTTGCAGTTATTCACGCTCTACCGCGGGAATTCAGCAGGTGCGTAACTCTGCAGATGTCGGTAAGTAACTCGTACGAGTTGCTAAAAGCATCCATACTCAAGAGAAACGTTCTCACAGATCGACAACGTCTGGATGAGTTATTTCGTAACATCGAGTTAGGAGATCAGTCAGCCGTGAGCATGCTGGCAAGAATGAAAGAGATCATTGGCCAAAGTCAGTTCGATGAAGGACTGTTCAGAGAACTATTTTTATCCAAACTGCCACAGTCAGTTCAGACTGTACTTGTGACACTTCAGGGTGTTCTCATAGATGATTTAGCTGTCTCTGCAGATAGAATTCTAGAGATAACGAAACGGCCAGTCACCGAAGTATACTCTGTTACCGAACAGACTTCGAAGAAGGATTCTGCAATGATAGAGTTAATCAACTCCGTCCAGCAGATGCTTAGGTCAAACAAGCCTAGCAATTCCTCAAACCGTCGTTCTAGATCCCCTCAACGGCTAAACGTACGTGGACGATCTAAGTCCAACACACGTTCTCTCAAAAATCCTGACTGGTGTTGGTATCACAACACCTACGGCAAGGAAGCAAAATGTTGTCGAAAACCTTGTGATTTCGGCAAAGCCTCCAAGTCTGTGGGAAACTATCCCGCCGGCACGCATTAGCGGCAACCGTCGCCGGTGGCACTAGCCGCTTACTTTACATCCATGATGTAATGAGCCAGACTAGATATCTAGTCGACACAGGCGCCGAAGTCAGCGTCCTTCCTGCTACAGCAGCAGATCGACAGAAGGATCCTAACTTCAACCTACAGGCTGCAAATGGAAAACCAATTGCAACCTATGGTCGGAAATACGTCTATCTGAACGTAGGTTTACGCAAACCTATTCGGTGGATTTTTCTAATCGCTGACGTCACAATGCCCATCATCGGCACGGACCTACTTAATCATCATGATTTGCTCGTAGACGTCCGCCGTAAACGATTAATTGACAACACTACTAGTTTGTCTATCAAAGGCATAACTTACAGTGGCCCCAGCTTGTCAATCGTTAAGATGAAAGCAATCCTCGATCCAACTTTTCAACCGATTGTTGACAAATATCCGGAACTGAATTGCCCATCTAACGATCTTCCGTGCATAACCAGCAACGTTATGCACCATATCATAACCTCAGGACAGCCCGTGACATCTAAAGCACGACGACTGGCCCCTGACAAACTGAGAATTGCCAGAAACGAATTCGATCATATGCTCACCCTTGGCATCATTCGGCCATCGAATAGTCCATGGGCATCCCCGTTGCATATGGTACCGAATAAGGATAGTAACGATTGGCGACCCACTGGTGATTACCGGCGAGTGAACGCCAAAACAACTCCTGATTGCTACCCTTAGCCTCACATACACGACTTGACGGCAACGTTATCTGGAGCATCTATATTCTCCAAAATCCACTTGGTTAAAGCATATAACCAAATCCCGAAAACGGCTATCATTACGCCTTTCGGACTCTTCGAATTTCTACGTATGCCATTCGGCCTCCGGAATGCGGCCCAAACATTCCAACGCTTCATCAACGAAGTATTTCGCGGTCTCGACTTTGTATACGCATACTTAGACGACTGCCTCATTGCCAGTCCAGATAAGGAAACTCACCTTAGACACTTGGACTTGGCATTTGAAAGGTTACGCCAACATGGTGTTACCATCAATATACAGAAGTGTCAGATAGGCGTTGACTCACTCGATTTTCTGAGTCACACTATTGACTGTCAGGGCATTCGCCCACTGGCTACTTCGGTCGATCACTCTAAAAAAACGCGTTCTGGACGTCACGTTAGATTCCCAGAATACCTTCACACCTATTTCACATAACTGAGTGACACATCAATTTTTTTTATGTTGCGTCATTTAACACAAATAAATGATATTTTTCCTATAACCGTACATTAAATAAAATTAGATGTATATTTTTTTTCCCGATATTTTGCACGTTACATTGTTTTACTGTATAGTAGATGCATGTCATTTATTTTTGGTAAAAAAAAACGCTTATTTGGTACATTTTTCTTGACAAGGTTCTCAGCATTCTTGTTTTCTTTTCCAGGTGCAACGGGCACTGGACAGGAAACAAACGAAGCACGGGATCCAACGAACAACATTGAGGAAGCTATGTACAGACACCCTATTAGCATAGGCAGACAGACCAGCAGGCTCTCCATCAAGCCGCTCGGAAGATTTTTTCACCCATCAGGGAACCATCGAGATTTTTTTACTTCCGGCTGGTCATGTCTTAGGGTTCTCACAAACCCACTAGGGGGGGAGTGAGCTGTAGCGGTAAATAATTCCCCAAAATTATTAACCACAGCAATCATCACTCAACATTGGATGCTGACCATCACTGTTTAAGTCGACTTGTTTAGCTGAAGGCTTACGGTCAAGCATCCCCGCCATTTGGTGCTCTTCGTCGTGTCACGTGCGTGCACGATTACTAGCTAGCTAAGCATTCATTCCTACCCGCGATTTGGTCCCAAAATATATATCGTATTTGGACGACAAAATCTGGTCTTTTGCTTTACCATTTGGTACTCGAAGAACGAACACTATAGTGGTTGTTGGTATAAGATCTTGCGTTAGTATAATCCGTACAACTCGCGAACGTCGATACCTACAGCCTCTAAAAGTTATATAAATAATATATATCTATATATCGGTAATAATGATAATAATAATCGGTGTAGTTAAAGCTGTCAGAAGAGTAAGACGGAAGAGAATGTGAAGAAGTAAAAGGACGGATTTAGTTGTCTACCCTTGAATGGTGTATGCGATTTTAAGGGGATAGGCCATTTGGACGCAGTCCTTGTGTTTCTGCATGAGTGTCCAGCCTTCGCTTAAAGGCATCCACAGACGGTGTCATAGCTACATCTGCCGGTAAGGAAATTCAGGGACGGCAAGCCCACAGGGAAAAGAATTGGGAGAGCACTCGGGTCCTTGCCCTCTAGTGAGCTATCCTTCTAGGATTTCCACGAGGGAGCCTATACCTACTCAGTGGCAGAACACCTTTCTTTGGGCGATTCTGTTCATTTGTTATTTTGTAGGCAGGAGTTAAATCCCCCTCTAAGACGACGGTAGTTAAGTGTGAATAGGAATAATTTCTTCAGCCTTTCATCATATGGTTTATTTCGGAGACCAACCACTCCTTTTGTTGCCCGTCGTTGGACTCTTTCCAACTCTTCTCAGCAGTGGGGGTGCAATAATATTATGCACTTCAAGGTGTGGTCTGACGTATGTTTTGTGCAACCTTAGAAAGGGCTTAGGAGTGAGTGCGCCTAACTGTCTATGTGTAGAGTGTATGACAGCATATACCCTCGCTACATCCCCCGTGTAATTTACGCTTGTGTCCATTTTCTCCGTTAGAACTAGACTTAAGTCACGTTCCGACGTTCAGCAGGACAAGCTTTCATTGCACAGGGTGTAACTTGCATTCTGCAGTCTACAGGTGCGTAACTTCCCTACTCTGCACTTTTTCAGGTTGAAAGTCATGCCACTGGCCACCGCCCAGTATTCCGGAAGCCTTAGATCTGCCTGCAGTCTATCTGAGTCCTCCGGACACTTTATTGCCCTCCATATCTTCACGTCATCAGCGTATAGAAGAGTCGGGCAGCTTAGACGGCATGGTAGATCATTGATAAAAATCAAAAACATCAGTAGTCCTAGGATAGAACCCTGTGACACTCCTGATGACGAGCTGTGCTAAGATGATCGGACTCGATTGACCTTAGTGCAAAATTGCCTTTCAGCTAGGTAGTCCTTTAGCCATGACAGAAGTGGCTTACCTATACCTGCCTGGCTAATTTTGTGTATGAGAAGGTCATGGTGAACAGTGTCGAATGCCTTCTCAAATTCTAGGAAGACCACATGGACTGGAACATTCATATCCCAGCATGACGTCCAGTCGTCCCAAGCTGATAGTAGGTTAGTAACGCAGGATCTGCCTTTCCTGAAACTGTGTTGGGCTTCATGG